ACGTTCAGGAAGTATGACGACCCTTAGCCAGGTGGACTCCCTGACCCTACTACATTACAGAGGGAGTCCAGGATATAAAAGGTCAAAAATGGGGAGCACAATTTTATAACTAAAATTTGCAACACTTCTACCTTTTCTGAGGAGCCAATTTCACGTCTGTAACTCCTATGCATCCTTATCTCCACTTTGGTGGGTTAAGAAATTCGACACATCACCACCAAAGACAAAAAAACGGGAAAATAATGTCAGAAGTAACGTTAATTCTTGCCAGTGTTGTGGACTTTTTTCAGCCATTCTCCAATGCAGTTCATACGGTGTGCGCGTGCAACTATTCGGCGTACGAGAATTCCGAGTTGTGTACATGCACATAAAGCAAGGTGGTTCTCAGCCCCGGGTATCATTGATTTCCATGCAGAGTACATGTACACGCAACATTCAGCCCGTGGTGAGGCTGTGGTGTGCATTAGTGACGGTTGGCCTTGTTACAGGGGACCTGTATGCAAGCTGAGCCTACTGCGGGGAAGCTAAAATTTGGGTTGCTAGTGAGCGTGACAGTGCTGTCACACCGTCAACACTTTCTGTTGAGGCCGCGCATGGATGCGGACAAGCAGCGATCTTTGTCCGATCTTTGTTGCTTGTTGTTCCTGCCATTTGGGCATAAATAATGGGGAGCCCTGTGATTGGTCAGTGTGACCCCAAGTGCGCCCCAGTCAACTGCCATTTCAACCAGCGTGGATAGATATTACACATGTACGGAAAGTGGCTGCAGCGAATTTCTATGTCTAGTGTATCGATCGCAGCCGTAGTCAACCATTTGGTCTCGGTACTTTGCAAGTACACATGTGAACCGCATGACTCTTGGCCGCTCATCAGGAAATACTAGGCCTATGTGTATTTGCACATTTTTTTTGGAAAATGGCATGTTTGGGCCCGTTTTTTCTTGGTACAAAAAAGTACAAAGAATACTGTAAAGTATGTCTACATAACTAGAATAGTATGCCTGTTTGTGCTGTGTTAAACGTCATGTAGAGCCTATGGCAAAAAAGGTTCAATTTCTATGGGTTTCGTGGGAGCGGAGTGGACGTCCGTCCCCACAGTTCTGGGGCCCAATAATTATTTAGTGTGACTGTGAGACGTGTGGCCGCGTGGGAGTAAATACCGCACAGGTCCGACTGTATCATGTCAACTCACATTTCTTCGTGCTTTTCATTCAATTCCAGCTCCTTCTGCAGCCATCGATCTGCCATGTCAACTGGGTTTAGGTCTCGGATAACAGCAAATCTTGAACACTTTTATAATAAGTTGTAGTTTTGTACCTATTTTGTTATCACTTTTTTATATGTAGCTCCATGGTAAGCCTAACCAGTAAACATTTTGACTAGACTGGCTCCATCCACATGCGTAAATTAGAGGGAGTAAAAATAGACGTCTGGGCACCATCCCAACATTTCTCCCACTGCCCTGTTGAGGGCGGCCGATATGGGTGAACAAAAAATAAGCCACCTTTCGAAGTCCGAGTATCTAGGTCAGAGACGGGCCAAAACTTTGGAGGAGTTTGGGCCCGTTTCTAAGATTCTGGCACTGTCGATTTCAAATCGACAATTTATCCCCCAGTCCAGAAATATACATCCGTGAGTAAATGGAGGATTGGAATGTGTAACCACTGAGGAGATAATTCCGTATGTACCACACTTTTGGATGATAATGTGAAACACCGTTTCCTGATGGAAATTTAAAACAGGGTATGGATGATGGCCTATTTACATTTTATACCAGTGTTCTATATCTGACACAATTGACTGGAAAAGACAGGATGAAACCAGAGTGCTTTGAAATTTGTTAGGGTTTGGGAACCACGTGGTTGTTAGGCCTAACCATCATTGATACCAAAGAGGCGCTCGCATTATAAAACTTTAGAGGAATGGATGGAATATGTAATACAGACCTTAAAAAACTTGGTAACCACAGACCCAAACGTCGTTTTCTATGATTTGACTTGAAGTTTTAGAGAAAGGTACTATTGTACTGCGTAAAAGCTCATTCTTCGTCTCTTTTAAAATTAATCTTAGGTCCTGGCAAAATTTGGACAAAACAGATTGCCGGCTAGGAGCCATGTGTTTCATTTTGCTTTGTCTTTCAAAATATTTAGCTCGTCGGATATTGTGTAGTCTATATCCAAAACAGGATTTTTTTCATTTGTTTTCTGCACAATCCATCTAGTGCAATCTTTTTGTCAGTGACTCCGAAACACCAATAGAAGGGGCTCTACTAGTACACACTCGGCGCTGCATAGCCGCCCCATTCTCCCGACTTGTAATAATATTGGTAGAGCCCCCTCTGTTGCGGAAGAATCACGCTGGACAGGGAACCACGGACGTACATGTATATAAAAAATCTGGACTTGCAACGCCTTTGTATGAAAAAGAGGCCAACCAGCGGCCATTTTACCGAGCCGAATACAAAAGCGTGGGTCGGCTCCCTTCTATTGACGTCAGGAAGAACAAAGGCGGGCATTGCCAGGAAAGCTTTGTATTCGCCTCGTTAAAATGGCCGCGAGTGAATTCAATGACTAAGGGCATTGCGAGTCCAGATTTTGTTATACACGTCCGTGCAGGGAACACGGAAATACCTCGTCTTGGAGCAAGATTAGATATGTGCAAAAATGGTGTTTCAATTACAGAAAACGCCAGGGCTTTGGATTGATCATGTATCTCATATGATCACGGATACAGAAATCATTTTCACGTCAGGTGATAACCTGGAAAATCAACAGACTTGGGAAAATGGACTGATTCTCAGTTAGGGCCTACCAACTTGTTCGAAACTCGAAATGGCCCCAGCATCTTTGAGAAGACGGAACTCGATGTGCGTGGTTAAAGTTCACAGAAAAGTGGCACACATTTTGTGATTTCCCTGAACACGCCAAATGTTGCTGTTTGTTGACTCTTACCGGAAAGGAAATATCATGTGAGGCCACGGGAAATTACCCCATGCAGCCATGGGTGCCAGTGATTTCCTGTAAAATGTACCAGCAACCCGAAACAGAGACGACTGTCTAATTAATTTTCTAATGTAAAATAATATTTTGACTGTGAATTTATAAAGGGGACGTGAGCATGGCGTGGGGATGTGTCACCTAGTTGTAAGGGCCTGTACAGCGTCCGATAATTGGGTTGGGGATTCGATTCCTGGTCCAGGTGGTTACATGTTGTGACCTTGGTCAAGTAACCTCTTGTGGCAAATATGCTCGTGCTATTATCCGTTTAATTCTACCTCATAGAGGTTTGAACCCTGGGCTGGACCAAGAGAGGGTGCAGTTTTCTTGGCAAAGGAGGCTCAAACGATTATGAATGCACGCGTTTAAGGTCGCGTCGTCGCCACCGGGAAAATAATGAACATCTCAACCAACATGGATCTAAAATTTCAACCGATGAGGGGGTGCTTCGGAGGAGAGCGTGTGATCATAATGATATCAGTGCCTTTGAATGACAAAATTGTTAGAATCCGTGGGCCTTTTAAATACTGAACCATAATAAAGACCCCTGATTGTCATTGGCTCCCAAACCAGTTTTGGGAAGGTGTACAATTTTGGGGCCGAAGAGAGTGAGGCTCTTAATTATTTAAAAAAAGCCTTTCTAGAAGTGTGATGGTTTAACTAGGGCTTTTTAGACCCTATACGCTTTGGGAAGAAGGAAAAATAATCCCCAACGTCTTTTCACAAGATGCCCCGACAATGCCTCCCACTGAGGACTATAGGATCACTCGATTTGTGACGGTCCAACGAGTTCATACACGCCTCAAGACAATTTCACAACTGACCGTGCATGATCCAAAATACATCTTAAATAAACATAATAAACAAACAAAAACACTGCCGTACGAAAAATTGTTTCCATATGTAACTGCAAAACATTGGTTGGAAAGAACTATCCTTGTTTATCACTTTTTAAAGTTTTCAAGAAGCAAGACTTGTCAATTGCGCGCAGTCACAGTTACAAATAACGAAGACCATCAAGTGTGACCCTCTTTTAGCCGGAAGAGATAAATCTGCGAATTTTGATTTTCTGATGAAAGAAAACGAATACCTCAAAATTAATGAACCCTCCCAATTAAGGAACCTGTCTCTCGTTTGAAGTAATGTTACATAATATTTCGGCAAGGACCAGCTGGTGTACTTGCTGATATCTGAGTTTGTAATTGAGGTAACCTCAAATGAATACAGTGACCTTAAATGCTTTGAAACCAATTGATATTATAGAAATAGAACCAGAAGATCCTTGTACGAAACGGCCACCTGCACAATACATCGTGATTGGGAAATGTTCATCTCAATGGTTTCACTAATGAGGTACTGGCCAAACAAGCGAAAAACCCGAATCCGTGACCCTTCTCCTGCTCTGATAAGGTCCGAAAAGCGAAAGACAGTAATTACTTTTAACGAGCCTCGGGAATGTTACACAGGAAACCGTTTTCCCTGCGAGACCTGTTAAAATGCCCCTGTCTCCTCAAAGCAGTAAGCCAGCAAGGACTTGCCACAAGTAATTAAGATGTCCTTTCTCTCAAACAGCTACAGCAAGGAGAAAAACGCAATTATACTGCTCCGTGGGACAGTCCAAAATGTGAAAAAATAGCCAAAAAAGCGGCACGTGTTGTTTGAATTTGAGGAGACACGACCAATTTTGGATTCCCAGATTCTCGCTAAACTAATTCAGCCCCCCCCTTTGAGGATTCAATACATAAGACTCACTTTATAAAAGTTCCCCATTTTGAACCAAGTTATTCCTTTAGTTATCAAGACACTATCGAGCATGGGACGAGGAAACGGAAAACAAAAATCATCAACGTGCACCAAAGCGTCAGCTAAAATTGTCCAAATCAGGGGGACATGCCGTTCCTGGATTATGAAAAGTTTCTGAGACCATTCTGCCGTAATGTTACTAATAATAATACACTAATGAAGGCCTAATCGAATGTTTGTTTTCCATAATATCAGTCATAATATAAATCCCGCCAAAAAGAAGAAACTGTTGCACCGGCTCACAGACTCCTGAAGAGGTCAAGAAAAACAATGCGTTCATTTTAAGTATTTTCCAACACTGTATCAATCTGCTTGCGAGTAATGGAAACGGTTTGTTAAAAATATGAAGCCCATTCGTCACATTTTTACGGTTTTAAAACAATGAAGAAATGATGCCTTACTACACACCATGCACTGATGTATATTGCAGCCTTTGCTACAAAAGTCAATGAGTCAATAAGTTTTTGCCTCCTAAAACGCAAATTAAAAGCAAAAATGAGATTGGTCTGGTATACAATGACCACAGGAAAAATTGCTTTGGAATTCCGCTGCATCCAGCCACATTGAAGAGGCAAATGACGGTTTATAGGGATTTCCGGAGATTGCTTGCTGTGTCAGGAAATTAGTTTGGCCATTGGCACCTGCCGTTTGGCCTCCCCAAGGGACAACGTGACTATGGCCATCGACGTCTGCCACCGGCATTGGACTCCCGGAACTTCGTTGATACGAAAGTTATGGGAGGCTATCGATCGCAAGTCACTGGTTCTATAGAAAAAAAACCTGATATTGAAAACAATTAAGAACTAAAATGTGGTATTTGATGAAGCCTTCATCCTTGCTTTTCTTCGTGGTATATGCAGCTCTGCGGTAGAGCATAGGAACACGAAGGGGGAAGCGTTTTGTAATTATCTTTTCTAGGGTGGACATGTATAACTTTCTGAGGAAACGCTTTCATGTACAATGAAGCACTTTCACAATCTAATCTTTATCGACGAGTAGCAGTTTAGTGCAAAGAGTACGAAGAGCTACGGAACGAGCTTGGCTGTAGCTGTCACGTACAATGAACTGATTCCGCCCGCTAAGTCATGTGATAGTGGGTATTTAATATCAACAAACACATCGCCCATCAGAAACCAAGTGTTTTATGAGTATATCATTCACCAAAAGTAAAGCCGACGGTAGGTACGCCTACAGTACTCGGGCTACTGATGTGCTGGGTACTATATCGTAACTTGGCTGTATTGTTAGTCAACAACACTCAAAACACACGTTGCTATGGGGTAGATACCAACTATAGGTCACGTGATTTAGCTGGCAATTTTTGTCAAGACTGCATCACGAATATCTTAAAATAATGCCAATGTCATTCTACGTTGTAGATTGAATTGGAAACGAAGGCAAATCCTCAAAAATAAACAAAACAAAGCCCCCCCCCCGTGAAAGATTTGTTTGTGACACTGCAGATTGATTTCAGATGGAAAGGTACAATGTCATCGGCACTGTCATGTATGCATCGGTGATACTGGGCCAGCATGTCGATCTGCCTCTTTACACTGTAAAGTGACACCCCTCTCACAGACACTGTAAATTTTCTTTGGTACGGTAACAAAATCTTGTGCGGTAGTAAACAGTGTGCGTGCACGGCACGGTGAGCCGGGCTGGCCAGTACAGCCGTGGAAGGTCGTGTACCTTCGGCTAATGAGGGGAGGGGGGGTGCACGAATGAAATTCCTTCAGGTCACGTACGTTTCAGAGGGAAATTATTAACTGCGCAAATCCCATCTTTAGGGTCATTTGCATACGTAACGAGGGCCATGAGAATTCGTACCAGGCAAGCATCTGCTTCATTTCATGAAATTTACGTCTTATTTTCACTTGTCGGAAATAAAAGTTTTGGCCCAAAATATTTTCATTGTAAGATAAGGCCTTTTCCTAACGTGTTTTGTGAAAATGAAATCGAAAACTAGTACCAGAATGTTTAAAACTAGTGATTTTTGTGAAAAGCTCTTTTCGTATGAAGCAGCAGTTTGTTTACGTTTTGATGCAGTTTTTGAAGGCTCGAAAAAAGGAATTCGAAGTTTTCCTGAAGTTTTTAAAAGTGGTTTGTGGTGGAGAAAGGTGTGAAGAGGTTAGATTTGCTGACAGTTTTCCACTAGATTTTTTTCTCTTCCCGACTGGACGCATTTGCATGTCGACCTAACTCAACACCGACTCCCTTTATCCTGCATAATCTTACAGCCTTGCGAGCGTGAGAATTTAGTGACACGGGAACGAAAGACGAACACGAAAGTACATTAAGTTAACATGAAGTTCATTATTGAAACCGAGGTCTACCCCTGTAATTATAACATTGCCAAGAAATGTTGAAATTCACGGCATATATCCCCAGTTTCACATGTACTATAAATGGATGAACACGAATACGAACACGAATGTACATGAATATGTACACCGGCTCTGACGAGAATTTCCATGTACATGTACGTGGTAATCCACGTGTAGCAGGCTGCAGTGTACCGTGCACGGTACGTGGTTAAGTCGGTTTTGTGTAAAACACGTAGATATACAAAAATAACCCATGAAAGTCGAACAAAAAAAAAATCTAGCCAGATAAAACTGATTGCATTGTGTGGTTGCGATTCTGGCCTGTGCCACTGTTCTGGGAAAGCTTCTAAAATTGAGAAATATAGTGGAAAAAAGACTAAGATCGAATGAGATGGAAATAGTTTATCATCTTAGCAACCACTTTGAGGCTAAATTTCATATTTATGTAGCATTCCTTTTCATGATTCTGTGGTGTTTTATTCGGTTTAGGCCTTCTAGAGCACATATAAGGAGTTTCAACGTGACCCTGTTAGTGACAAAGTCTTAAAAACGAGAAGGCTCAACAAAGGATTGGCAAGTTGCTAATGACGATTCCGTACGGTTCACGAGGGTCCTGTCAAGTAACCGCCGCGCACCGATGAAGTCGTTAATTTCCACACGTCGAGCGGGAGTGAACATACATGAGATGCGGTGTAGACAGAGCTGCTCCGGGTGGGCATAATTTGACACAGAAACGATGCCGAAAGTGCTTCGATTAAATTGAATCGGGAGGACCATGTGAAATAGCACTATTTCGAGGCTACAAACCAGTTGATTGTACATGACACCTACATCCGGATATTGGAAAGCTTACTTGTCACTCTCTCATACTTGAAAAGATACATTAAAATAAAATTGAAGTACAAAAATTGCGAAGTGCTATGCAGTCCATTCATTAATATCAAATGTGACATAAATGAATACGGGTGTGGGAAAGGCCCCGGATTTGCAGTGGGCATGAGCTATATGTCTCCCGTGTCGACACTTATCCCCAAGTTATTTAAGCCAGTTGAATAAAAATAGCATTGAGTTCTAATAGACTTCGAAATTTCAATGCCAGATTATGCGAAGATAAATTTCAACATATTACTCAGTTTATGCGTACCTTTCCCTCGTATAAACATGTTCATTGTTATCTTTTGTTCTTCAGTTGGTTTTAATTTGATGGCCACTTCAAAAATTCAACCACTTCGTGTGGATGGATTAAAAGGAGGAATTCGTGTTAGTGGTTATCTTTTACGTGAAAATTTTTAGGATTTCTTAAAACCTAAATCTTATTTACTTAATTCTACCAACATGAAAAGACACCTAAAGTATGCCTTTTAGATCCCGAAGTGGCGCTCAGAATAATATAAATTTGTTTGTCTTGTTTTTATTTCTCACTCTTGTGGCCAGAGGCCAAATTACAGTGAAAAATCACAAATGATTTGAAGTAAAAATTACATTACAAATGCGAAATTCATTGACAAAAGTAACCATTAAGAAAAACACACTACAATGCATGAACATCAGAACCGAGTTATTAAAACCGAAGAACACTTAAAAAAACACATAGTTTCTTATAAAGGACAACACACAAAGGCGAACCAACATAAGTCTCACTGCGTAAAACGTCGAGTAAGTAAATAAATTCTTAGTCCCAAAAAGTGGAAGTAAAATTTTGAATTTTTTTTTGGGGGGGGGGTCAGAAGTGTGATTTGTATGTTATTGTCCCCTAGACAGTAATTGCACGCACTGCTTTAGACCCGGAAACTACATCGTTATCGAAAACAAACCCTCCTAATGAGCACGCATAGACCTTATGGCGTATCCTACCCGTATGATATGATTACACATGGCGCTTGCCAGCCAATGAGAAACCCTGGCGAGTGAGCGGTTCAATGAGAATGGCCCCATTGCGCACACACAATACGCCGTTGAGTCCACCAATTGCCGCAGTATGGCTCGTGGTTGCGATGCCGGGCCATGCACTCGGCTCAGGCAATTTTATACAAAGTGGTGTTACAGGTATAGGGCACTTCAGCATAGATCACTTATCGCTGAATTTGGTTTCTACATGCGTCAAGTAAGCATCAGGAGTTCGCTTTAGCAAGCCCATGGACGTACAGCAAAATGTTGGCAATGATGTGGAGGCTTGTTTCTTCGGTGGGTATCCTCTTTATCTTAGCAGGGCTGACTTCTCTAGCTCATATTACAACGGGTGAAACGACACCAAGTACAACCTCGACGCAAAATGCGGTGACTGCTTCTTGGTTCGACTCGGGACCAGTTTCCCCGATAATAGTAATCGACCCGGACAACCAAACTGTGACCTACGCCTCGATGGCTGAGGATGGTACCGGGCCCTCCTCGACTGCGGGCTACGGAGTGCCCAGGCGGAATAATAAGACAGCGATCTACTTGAGTGCATACTTCACCTTTGGCGGCGGTTGGGATGGAAGTGGCATCCTTCCTGCCTGTCAGATGGCCCTAGAGCACATCAACTCACGTCCAGACATCTTAGCGGGTTACGATCTTAGAATGATTTGGAATGACACGCAGGTAAGTCTGATTTCCCCAAAAGAAAAGTTTACAATCAAATTCTAACTGGTCGAAAAGCGGTAAAAATATATAACAAACAAGCTTTCTCGAATCCACGACTTCCCTCTTACTAGTACAGACGTCTTAATTAATTAACTTGTTGGCGCTGGCTGGCTCGTCATCCTTGGAAATAGTTGAAATTTTTAACGTACCAATATCACTGCATTCTGTGGAAGGCAGAATATGAAACAAATCATATAGGGAAACTGACTTGGTGCTTATGAATGATTATAAAGATAAGCAGAGAATTTGAGGGGATCGGGATTTTAACCTGCGGCCTCTAGAATACCGTACCAGTGCTCTACCAACTTAGCTACCCAGCCCTATGTTGGTGGCTCTTCCCATTTGTCAATATCTCTGTTGGGGGGTGCTAGCCAGAAGAAGAGGATATATGTACAACCTCTATTTAAGTTGGATGTATCCTCATATTTCTGATAATTTCCGAACAGAACAATATTCCGGACCAACTCATACGCCAACAAACTCGTACGCCTTAAAAGTGATGGTGGTAAGATACGTGCGTATTTATAAAGTACATAGTGTACCATTACGTCTTAACGTGTAAAAGCTCATTTCGGTGCGCTTATGCGTTGTTATGAGTTAACTTTAAAACTCATCCATGAGAGGTCATCATTGCAAAAACATTTACATGAAAATTTGTATTTATTTTCTTGGCTGTTTGTGTTTATGATATTTTTTTGGAAATGTGTATAGCTCTGAAAAAATCGTTAGTTTTTCTTCTTTTTTTTTTTACAGCAACATCAAAAGCGTATACCACCAAAACGATTGATACAACAAACGATACAATAGCAGGACTGTACTAATAGCACAACCTCGTGCAACTTTGGTATCTATGAGATGCCGACACTACCCTGGCGGCGGCAGGAAACCGCGATTTGCCAGTAGGCCTTTTCACAGACAGATAATGTAGTCACGTCCAACTAAAACAATCTGTCACAAAAGTAAGAAAAATCTCGTTTGGCAAAATCTTTTTACGGTAATCGATCTTTAAATGGCCGGGGCGAGTAAAAGAAAAATTCACATGCAGAAAAGCTACGTGTGCATGCGTTGGATGATGATGCGTGCACGCATGAGGTAGTCGATGTGCGAGTGGCCATGCGTACAAGTAAACCTGTTCCCTCTCAGTTTCTTCCATCGTTCAATCTAAACAACTCAGAAACGAAAGAACAATTTTGCTTTTGTATACCGGTGCTTCAAATGAGGACATAACTCTAAACCATACGAATTATAGAAATGAATGCACAATACTCAAATTTATTTATTTTGTTAGAAAAGCCTGGATAGGCCTGTGATAAGTTTTAAAGCGTTTTAAATATTGAACAAGAAGTGTGCAGGCGTAAGGTGAGGAAATTAATACTCAATAACATCCTGATCCTCCAATGCTCATATCGTCCTCTCCTTTCGTTACTAGTTTTCCACACGCTCAACAATATTTCCAGGAACACTGAAATTGAAAATCCCAAGAACTTGAATTGGGCATTTTTCCCAGTGCAACAAACTTTCTAAGCATTCAAAAATCTGTTCAATTTTGATATGGTAGAATTTCACGGACTGAACGTCACGAGACAATATTCAACTAAAGTGGGTCGCGCTATTTCGTGCTATACACTAATATGTGTATGTGAGATAGTGAAATAGCATTATATACCCCACCTGGTTAATGTTTACTTTGCCCGCGTTGTCGTGTCTGGACAATTCGCTTGTCAAGTGACGTGACAGAAGTCTTTTCCGACTGTGTTAATTAGTTTACTTATTTATCTGCATTAGACACTCTACACATGCATACATCTACTGCATCGATATTAATTATTATCTAAGTGTAAATATATGTAAGGATGCATTGTGTAAACTCCTGAGTTTCATTTTAAATAATCGGGACCATTACGGCTTTCAAGGGCCCAGGGCTTGGTATATTCGGGCAAACCAGGTCCATTTTTACAAGCGCCTATCGAATAATCCAGCCACTTTAACTACGTGGGACTGCTGCACTCGCAGGGAGACGGCACTTACACCGTTGCTGGAGGCTGTAGGACGGGCATGTCTCGCAAAAGCTGCCTCTTCCTAAAGGGGCATATATTTAGCCTCTGATACAGTGTCCGTCAGATCCTCTCCAAGATGTCGTTCAAATTTTGAAAGCCCCGTTTGCCGACCTGTAAACGGAAACGCGCCGACCCAATATATTCCTGGCTTTTCAACGGAGACAACATGACTGTGCGTGTCTTGAATTGCCCTCCTCGCTGGCCACTCTTTTAAGCAATCGAGCATCACGCGCGCATTTGGTAAAGAGACAAAGAGGGAACCCTGCTGCCCCCCCCAAAAAAGACGAAGTCACGAGAGGTCTTGAACGGTGTGCTATCAATGAAATGAAAGTGGACAGTATCCTGCCTTAACTGATACAAGTGCAAGGGAGTTTTATCACAGACAGACGTGTCAGACTGGGAATATTACAGACATAGACTGACATAGGTATCAAAGGCATATAAGCTTACACGAACATGGAAAGGAAAACATCACAGATAGAGACAGGAACGGGTGAGAAAACTACATCACAGATATGCAGACAAGGGTGAG